AAAGTCTGTACTGCGATTTAGGTAAAAAGTAACATTGCTGTCATTGGAGGATATCTTCGATTAATTCAGTTAGGATGAGTTGAATCCACTATGTAGATGACATGCAATGGTATTCTTCTATGTTTTCTTAAGAGTATAACCGTCTTAGCCAAGTTAACATCAGATATTCATATTTCTATCTTTTATTAAGAGTATAACCGTCTTAGCCAAGTTAACATCAGATATTCCTATGTTTTAATTTGTCTATAAGATGACTGAAAGTAAGACATTGCAATCAAATGATTGATTATTCATGCTTCTTTATCCACCTATGATGAATTTAGGTACGTGACTTGATACCATTATGTGAAGGACATGCTATGCAATTCTGCAGTCATATTTAAGATTCCAGTCATCTTGACCATGCTGTTTTCTAAGATCAAGTACTTCCTAAATTTGACCCACTTAAGGTGATCAAAAGTCAGATACTGTTTTCTTCTTGTTTCAGTACTATCACTTTGCATTTTATGTTAACTAAAATGCTTAAGCGTGGGCAATTTGATGTCAAAATTATAATTCTAGAGAAGTTGTCTCGCATGTGATTTAGTTTATCAATGAATAATTTTTCGGTTCTTGACCCTCCACCCTGCCTCAAAAAAAAAAAAAAAAAAAAATCCCTGCATGCATGTGAAAGCACGTATGAGTGAATGAGTATCTGTCCATCTGTCTTATGTTAACCATTTTGCAGGTTGAGCTTTTAATCCCCCAACTGCAATTTTTAGATGATGAAGGGGCACAGGTGGAGCTCTGGGAATTGTCAAGGATTTTCTTGGATACACTTATCAAAGGAACAGAATGTCAGGTGAGTCAGATGGGTCGCTACGAGTTGTAACATTTCAACATATAGAGGATTGTCAGGCTCCTGGCTTTTCTATAAAACATCAAGGTCCAGTACTGAAGTGCTTTTGCCATTTGTATCACAGACCAAAAACACACGCACACAAAAAAAAAAAGAGAGAGAAAATGATTAGCCTTACAAAATTCTCAAGGGTCAAAAGAAGACTCCGAAATGAAATTTATTGCTGCACTTTTTACTTTACGGGCCTTTGAAATGAAATCTTTAGGTTTCTTCAATGTTGATGTTAATGCATATGTCCTGTATAAGTTGTTAACTTGCTTGCTAAGTTCCATTAGTTTGATTTTTAGAGTGTCAAAGCCATATTTCCAGATGCTGGTGCAGCTGCTCTTCTAAAATATCGGTGGAAGGATGCTGCATTTAAATTTGCAAGGTAACTGCTGCCACATTAAATATTTCTCCATATATAATTGCTTCCTGTGCCATGGAAGCATGATCTCAGCGTGTACTTTTTGTCAATGGGTCCTTGTTTTAGCATTTCCCTTGAGAACTTTAATGGCCATGATGTCACAATTTAATTTCGTGATTCTGTATATTAATGGCTACTACTGTTAAATCATGTACAATTTTCTGTTATGTTAATCCAGCTTAAGTGATCGAAGGCCTGTAGAAAGTGGAGACGAGATCATTGTCATGGTCGTTCCTGATTATCAAATGTTAGAATACGTTGAGAGAATTGCATCTGATCTATCAAATGATCCAGTACATTCCTGGCCTCAGATTCTTCCATCTTCTATGCACTCATTGTTTAACAGGAACTATCATGATATCTAAAACTTAAGCATCCTCCAACTGATCAATGTGATACATTTTAACGTTTAATGGGGAAAGCAAAACGTGATATTTTCTTGAATTCATGCTTGACTTTATTCTTTGTATTAGAATTCTAGGTGGTTGCAAGTTATATCAGTTTACCAGATATGATGGGTGGCATTAAATAACAAGGGATTCAGCATGCCTGGTATTTCTCACACCATGTGTCATTCTAGCAAACCACCATAGTCTGCAGGACAGCATCACCCGGCAATGCCGTTTCAGCAATAGGCATTAATTTTAGAAATTTGTATATATTAGTTTGCATTACAAACTTTGTGTATATTTGCAGCCAAGGCCTCTCATCATGTGGAATCCACGCTTGATTAGTGAGGATGTTGGGGTTGGAGTAAATGTTCGGAAGTTAAGACGCTACTTTTTAAGGTGTGATTTCGTTTTTTTGTATATAAAAGGTATTGATATTTAAATCATTTCATATTTTGTTTATTCTATATTTCAACTGGCAGTTGGAAATAATGATGCCATCTGTTATCAGAGTTATAAAAGTGTGTTCTCCTTGAGTTGTCAAAAGTTTGTTACGATCCATGTAATTCGGATGGAAAATTTTCTTCTTGAGTTGTCTAACTTAATTTTCTCCCCTTTAGTATCGGAAATATAGGTTCTGTATAACGACTGGCTTTGGTAGTTGTTCTAAACCTTTACCAGCCTTGTTTTTGCTTTGTTATTGTCTTTAGAGGCTAAAGTCTGTGGCTTCACTTTTAGTCCATCCTATCTTCAATCTTCCCTCCCTCCCCTCCCTTTTTCAAGGTTCCTACTATGATAAATGTGGGGATATAAATTATGGGAGAATTACATACAAATACCCAAATGAGAAAATTAATTACTCATAGGTTCTAACTACTTGTAAATACAGAAGTTTGACTTGCAAATGAAAAAATTTGACTTGTAAATGAGACTGAGAAGATAATTAATTTTTTTTATTTTATTTGGGACTACTTGTAATTCTCCCATAAATTATTCCTCACTCCACTCCACTGCAAAATCCCTAAATTATGATCTTCCCTTGTATTATGAAAAATTTGAAAATATACACAAGTTGCACAGAAGTTAAAATATCACCAATATATCTCAAGATTAATATTGAATTTTTTATTAAAAATGAATTACTATAATTTTAAAATTTTGTTGTTATTTATTATTTCAGAAACCGTAGAATTAAGTTGTTCTAAATTTAAAAAGTTAACTATTTTTGTACTGTTTAGATATATATATATTTATTTATTTATTTAATACTTTCTACGCTATATTAATGGATATAAGGATAGTTTAATCAAAATAGGTGTGTTTGTAATTTATCTTTGGCCTCTTACAAAGTTAATGTAGGGCATTCTTTAATTTTAAAGGAGAAAAATGTAGGATTTCAAAATATAAGGGGATGCTACATATTTGAGCATGTATATATATGTATAAAAACTCTAACAAAGTACACTGTTCTTGAGCCATGAACGCTTATCCTACTTGTAGGTGACCCATGCTAGATTCTCTGGGAAAAGCTAATTTACCCTCAATGTTTTTGTTCTGAGTCCTTCATTCAGGCCCCAACCTTACATTTTGTTAGTCGCCTTCTCGGTAACTAAAAATCTTAAATGGCATTGAATAAAGCCTGAAGCTTATCTTCAAGCCAGTAATTATCTGTATGTGTTCAGTTCCTTTTTCAAGAATTGAGTTACTCTGATCGCATCAGACTGCTAAACAATTGTCATTTGTTGTACAGCACGTTCACGACTGTTTATTCCATGCGACCTCTGCCATCCGGTGCAGTCTTCAGGTGCTATCCAGGGTAAGGTCTTCTATTCCCCTCCCACAAGGACTACTGTACCTGAAATGATATTGCATTTTTTTATCTTCATAACTTCCAGTTTCAGATTATTTGCATCCATGAGAGATGAAGACCAAATCTCATTTCACTTTTCCTTAAAAAGCGGATGATTGGTTTACCCACTCCCCCCCCCCCAAAAAAAAAAAAAAAAGGTCACCGGGGGCGGGGTGATTGGATACTGATGTAGTTTCTAGATGTTGAGAGCACCAGCATGATTTACTTTATAGGATTCGCTGTTTTCCTGGAAAAATGAGATAAGAAATTCACGCTTGTGGTCAAATACTGGCTTGGCAAATAATCTTCACTCGTTTTTTCCAAGGTCAAATTCAATCCATTTATGGTCTGTTGTTTGATTATCGTATTGTTGATTGCACTTAGAGTATGGAAAGTGTTCTACGATGATAAGGATAGGCCCAACAGATATTTGCTCGCCAAGGAGTTCATTAGCCGTCCTGATGCTGAAGAACTCGAGGTTAGTAGCTTCATTTATAGATTATCTTGCCAGATTATGGATAGAAAATCATTCGGCCTACCCTGCTGTTTTTAATTGAGGTAGTTATTGAATTTGCCAATCAACAACAAATGCTGAAAACTATGATTAAATTAATCATAATGAAAACACCCGGAACCAGCCTGAGCCTCAAGGAAGAAAATAGAATTTGTCCTTTGTCACTTCATTTCCCTAAAACCATTTTGATGATCCAAATCCAATTTTTTTGTGATGGGCGATTTCACCTTCATGTGGCAGATGATATTTGGCGGTGCAGAAGGGGAGTCATTGCAAGGCCGAAGTTTGCTAGACAAAGCGGCAACCCTCATCTCCTCAATAAATCGATTTATGAAGGCTGTTTCATGAGAGGACATTTCCTCCTCTTTTTTGCCTTTGCATTTTTCAATTTCTTTTGTGAAAAATTTTAAAGCGCGTGGCATAAGCTGTAATACGTTATAGTTTTTCACACGTAATAATACGTGGCAAATATTTATTAAAAAAAAAATACGTGACATACTTTCTCCTGACTTCAGATCGCTCTTCTCACTAAACCGCACCTCAGTTGCATATTTTTACCTTCAACGGTTAAAAGTAAACAGTAAAATATATTAGAAAATAAAAGAAATATTTAATTTTGAAAACAAAAGAAACTTATTTTTTAAGAGATTTTAATCTTTAATTTTAAAAAAATTATGAAAAATAGAAATAAAAAATTAATATGAAAATCATTAATAAAACTTAATTTCATAAAAAAAATCTTGAAATATCGATTCGTTATAAAAAAGTATCGACACGAATCAAAATTAAAATTTAAAATATTTTCAATTAAAAAATAATATTACAATACTTACCAATGAGAAGTATTGGCAAGTACTGCCATCACTAGCAAAGTTGCTGGATTTTGTTTTTCTTTTTTTCCTTTTTAATTTCTCGCTAATCCGCCAGCTGCAATCACTATAAGATATTCGACTGAGGAGTTTGGATTCAGTGTAAAAAAGCAAAACCTGACGGGAATTCTGCAACATGATTCCTTCCCTCCGGAGGCACGAGAATGTAAAAACATGAATTCCCAACACATTTGTATTGACAAACAGCTGATCGTGTCACAATATTGCGTGTAACAGACCTATATAATTTCATGGATGGTTTGTCCATGGTAATTCCAACCATTCAGAGTGACTCGAGGAGTGACGCTCGGAGGGACCTCAAAAGATATTCTAATAGGCACGGCCTCCCCTGGCACCAGTGAAAAGTAGTTATCTGAGTAATGAACTGGAAGAATTCTAGTGTCTTCCCCTTCTCTATACTCCCTCTTGGAAGCATGAACTGAAAAATGAAGGAAGAAAGCAACTCCTACATCATGCCCCTTCACTTCAGTGACCCTCAATCCATCATCACTTTTCCCAGCAAGACGTCTGTATATTGTCTTAAACAAACCAACTTCCTGTTCTTTTCCACTCCGTCCTTTTACAATTTCCAGTGACTCCATGAGGAAGCCAACACCTCCTTGACTAGCTGATGAACTGTGCCTTAAGGATAGGGCTCTAGAGTCCGGTGTTTTAGATGTGTTCTGCACATGCATTTGAATCTCATAAGTAGACCCTTTAATAAAAACCTTCGATGTTATCTTGAGAGGTATTTTCCTCCTCTTATATGGTTCTAGCAGCTTGTAATCTCCACCGTGAAGATGCAGCCAATAAAAGTTTCGAGATAAAATTCTATAATCTGACTTGTTGTAGAGTTTAAGAAGAAGAAAATAGACTGGCTTTGGATTTTTGCTCTTCGGATACTTCATCTCAACAATGGGCATGACTTTTTTGGGTGGCACCGGGGGAGCTTCATGAACTTTGTAGTATGGACATGTCCCTTCGAGATCCCATACTGAGGCTTCAATAGACACATCAAACAGTTCTTCTGATGTAGTATTAACAACCTGTTTAGGGCAGGAAGATGAAATGTTACAAAACTTTATATAGCAAATACACCATTGTATTCATAACTCGATCCTGTCGTATGTGTCATAATTTAATATCTCTCTCTTGTTGATTTTAGCTTCCCATCCTGATATTTACCTTCAGTCAAGGACATTTATTGTCCTGTTATTGCTTGCTCGTACAAAATAGAACTTGAATAGACAAACCATACCTCTATGACAAAAGTATCCAGATTGAGCTGTACATGAACTGGCTCTGCAGCACATCGACAGCTGTAAAATCCTGCATTTTGGTCAAGTAGATGGTCATAGAACTGGCCTCTAAGACCCGTCCATGGATTTTGTGTCTTCCAAATCAATACACCTGTGTATTTGCCCCACATGCGAGAAGTCCATCCCTCTAGAAGAGCTCTATATTGAATGTAGTTGACAAGTTGAGCCTGAGATATTATAACATTAAAGTGAACAGTAAACATCGATTTCACCAGAAAATACAAAATACAGGAGAATGAAAAATACACCAAGCCTGGATTAAATAATTTTTTACCTTCACGCAAAAATCATCAAGATCTTTTGGGGTGCCATAAAGTAGAATCTGATCATGAACCTTGGAGGATGGATTTGAATAAGGAATGTATTTATGGTATTCCCATATGGGATTTGGAACTTCTTCTACGTAACCATCAGGAAGCTTCCTAAAGACTGGTATCTGCCATCCTTCTGGGGGCATTGTAGCTCGAATAGTAGCTGCAACTGGCATTCCTACACTACCAACCTCCGGATTGAATCCGTAATGGTAAAAATCACTTTTGAAAAAGTCCTCAGGATTTTGAATTCCATAAGGGCCATCCGAGAAGCTTCCATTTCCCTCAGCAAACCCATCCCATAATGAGCCAGGGATATAAATACGTGTACCATCAAGATACTGGCTAGGATCTCTCAACATCAGGGATGAGTTTTCCACGGGTTTGACATTTTCATTTACACTCTCAAAAAAAGGATGAAGCCTCAGGTCATTTTTCAGAGCAGTATTTATATCATTTGGTGGTATTTGTTCATTTCCTCCTACCCAGAGGGCAAGACTAGGATGATTTCTTAAGAGCTTGACAGTGTCTCTTGCACAGAACAGGAAAAGGTCATGGTCTAGTGGGCCATTTGGATTTGAAACTGGAACACCTCGTCCATCAACGTCCCCAGTAATCCAGAACTCTTGCCAGACCTACAAGATTTAAATCAGCAGTACGATCAAATTTTGAAACCCCAATGTCACTAATATATCTTTGTATCTACCTAACGAACCTTAACAAGGTGATTGAACCACGGCTACAAGAGCACCTCAGAAAGTGCTCTCAGAAAATAAACGCACACTCCTATATTATAACATATTGCCATACCAAACCTAATGACAATAATTTTTAGGTCAATATACACAAATAATGAACTAAATTTTTGTCAGTAAAAATGGAAGAAAAATCAACCTCCCATGTACTCACCCAACCCCACCCCAGAAAAAAAGAAAAGAAAAGAAAAAATCCATGAAAGCAGAACTATTTACACACACTTACTTATTGCAATAAGGGAGTCATTGAGATTGAGATAATAACAATGCACAATTACATACAGAAATCAAACGCAAACAACTCTGACAAGCTCATAACAGAAAAGATCAAAGAATAAATCCATTCTGAAAATATAACAAAGCAAAAGGACTAAAGAGCAGTTGAAGAAGAATAGGGTGAATAAAGCATACCAGAATGCCATAATAGTCACAATAATCATAAAATTCTGGCCTTTCAGCCAGACCACCACCCCAACAACGAATCATGTTGAAGTTCATGTCTGCATGAAACTTGATATCTGTATTATACCGCTTCTTTGAAAGCCTTAGTAGCCCATCTGATAATATCCAGTTACCTCCTCTGATAAAAATTGGTTCTCCATTGACTTTGAACAACCTATAAGGTGAGACATGCGCATCATAACACATGAGGAAAATATTCGAAGCTTGAAGTGATTCTACAAGAATTAACTATAAAAACGAAAACGATACCATCAGAAAGAAAAATGAGAACCATACCTCCCACCAGAAGCACTATCAATATGACTCTCAATTTTGCGGAATCCAAAATGATGTCTCCATGAATCAGATTCTCCATATCCTTTAACATTAATGTCAATAGCAACATTGTACAAAGATTGTTTCCCCATTCCATTGGGCCACCATAAATTGGGCTTGTAGAAGAAAAGCTGCCAATTCACAGTTTCAGACCATGACAACTTCAATAGAAACTTTGAAACTTGGAATCTTAATCCATGCAGCAGAACAGGAGTATGGCAAAAGGATGCTTGAAGATTATCCAATCCAACAACAGACGAGTTCATTGATTTATTTTGAACAGAAGCTATTGGGACAATCACTTGAGAAGTTGAGATAATTTATTGTTTGTGCCATATTCTTCTACTTCAAGGTCTTTCAAACCTATTACTGTTGACAATTGACACACCAAAGGCCACCGGCTCACAATACATGTGCTCATAACAGGTCAAATGAGACAGATCATACAGAAAAGTAGAAACAAAAGCTACCACTATACAGATAAACAGTAAGGTTATAGATTGAAAAATCATATTCAGAATACCCAATTTGTTGATCAAGGTTCCCAGAATTATTGACAAAGTTGACAGTAGATTAACGGTTTTTTTGTGCTAGTAGAATAGATGGTATAACCAACCTGAGGAAATGTATATTGTAACCTTGATTTAGCAGGAACTGAGACATGCTGAGTTTGAAGATGCTCTACTAAGTAAATGTTCTCCTCAACATCTGTCGTGACTTGGATATTAAGAGAACACTCAGCAGTCCACGCACTCTTGTTTTTCAACTCAACTGTGGCATGCAGATATACTCTCTTATAATTGTCAAAAAATGATGACACCAAGTGCGGATCAATTATTTTTACTGGCTGCAACAAAGATACAGATATTGAAATGATCCTAGCCAAATGGCTGAAAGAAGAAACGAAACAATCAATGATGAAGATATCAACTAAAAAATTGGATGATTTAATTTTCAGACTGACTGAGCAGAACAAACCAATAGGGCATTTCTGATTTGAGTTCATGTCTCTACGACAAGCTGGTTTTGTTTTCCATTCATCTCAGTAACTCATCAATATATATATATATATATCCTACAAAAACATCTCAGCTGGTTTTGGATCTGGAAGGTTCAGCCATATTTCACCACAAATTACATCTAAAATGATTCTCAGAAAAAAATTTCATAAATAAGCATATGAAATTGTAGAAGTGTGTAGATTTAATCATCACTAAAAAGAAGAAAGGATTTAATATGGGTGCCAACAACAAACCTTATGTGCATGAGGAAAGAACAAAGAAACCAAAATACTTGGGTAGGTTGGTAGGAATTAAGGCATTTCACACGTAACTCACCCCAGTAACTGAAATGGACACTTCATCCCATATCCCAGTATTCCTATCTCTGTCATCAAAATAAATACTCGCATCAGAAATAGCCTCTGTATTTATTTATATAAATCTTGGACACAGGATCCAATTCCAATTAGATCAACTATATTTTTTATACAAATGCCTTCTACCACAGCTAGTGCTCAATGAAACAACATTGTGATCAATCAATCACCAAAAAAAGGAAGAAATTCATGGATTGAATCTTTCTAAATATAAATATGATTAGAAGATTGTTGCCACAATGGTAGTTCTACAAGTCCAACACCATCCAGTCATAAGAGAGAAGAATAACAAGACTTTTAAACCAGCAAAGCTTCAATAAAAAGAAGTACCTTATCCAGAGCAAAAAACAAACCATAAAATATTTATCCTAAAAGTAATAACAATGGCACCTTATTGGAGCCATCCAGTCCCAACCTTCGACATACTGTGTAGCCACATCTTTTCCTATCTGAAAAGTGACTTGCAAAGTTATCAAGTAAGAGAACTGATAAGTGAATGCTTTAACCATAAGAATATTAAGAAGATAATTTTTCTTAACATAAAACCAAAAGAGAAAGAAAAAACTATTGTTCATGAATTTCGTCATAACCTCATGATCTCCACCTTGTCCCCCCTCAGGGGGTATTTTTCCAGGATGATCTGGAGGGTGAACAAGCACAGCAAGCAGGTTACTGCCATCAGGATGCAGAATATCAGTGACATCAAGGGAATGCCTACGAAACATTCCTTTTGGAAGAACCATTTGGTGGCCGTTTATAAATACATCAGCAGAGTAATTGACTCCACGGAAGTTCAGATCACAGTGCTGATTGGCTGACTGCAAAGGATCAACAAATTGGTTATGTCCATCAAACCTTGACGAAACTATTTTCAAATCAGAAACCACCATTTGTACAAAGGATCAAGTTTAAGTATTAGATGTCTTTCTGTCTATAAGTTGACCATCAATTCCATGGGCTTCTTAGCATCATGTTCTCTTTTGGGTTTGAAAAAGGCATAGTTCACCAATACAAAGAAAATAACAGACTATAAGCCAGATGTGAAAAGCGAAACTAAACGGAATTGTGTCGCTTCGATGCCAACAATTGTATAATGTCGGAAAGAAAATTTCCTACCAGCTTACACTGAAATTGTGTAAAGAACCAGAATGTGTAATGCTCTCTTCCAGTATCAGCAATATCCATGATTGCTTCATTTTCAAGTCCATAAAAAGGATCGGGCACGATTTTGTTCTTCACCAAGGTCGAGAGAACGCTGTCAGTTGAAGTCACTTAATCAGCAAAATTACAGTTAAAGGAGATAAAAACACCAGCAACTGACATTTATACAAACTCTTATCGCATAATGTATCCATAAAAACGGAACCAGTCCGAGTATGTAAAAAATTGAAATCTCTAAGCCTCAGAGCATCAAAGAAGAGATTAAGGATTCAAAAACAGAGAGTAAAATGTGCAGTCCAGGTCTACTTGGGCCACTGAAGAGGGAAGGAGTAATTACGTTCCAGGCACGACGGCTTCCATCCATGGTGAAGTGGGTCCAGTGGGAGGATGAGTGGTGGTGAGCTGAGTGCCAGTGAATTGGACCTCCGTGGACCTGGCGGCAAGCCAGCCCGAATCGATGGTGGTCTTCCCGGTCTCCGCCGTAAGTGGCGTCATGTTTGCGTTTGCAAGGAAACCCTAGATCACAGAAACGAGAAACTGATCGGTCGCGAGGAAACTAACGGTCCAAGACGTCCTGCCCAGTTTCCTTGTGCTGCTGAGCTGCTCTCTCGAGTGTGTCTCGTGTACTTAACCGAAGAGGGAAACACCGACAGGAGAGGAAAGTCACGGAAAGGATGTGACAGTTATTTACATTTTCAAGATGTATTCTCAAATTATAAAATATTTTTAAACAAAATTTATTATTTTATTTTTTTAAAATAAAAATATAAATTTTTAAAAATAACAATCATTTAATACTTCAATAATAAAAAATATTAAAAATTTATATATGAAGGGTAATATTAAAAAAGTATCATTAATAAAATTTTATTTTTATTAAAATATCTTCTATTTTAAGATGTTGAATATTTTTTAAAAATATCTTATAATTTGAGACAATGACAGATGTAGTATATTTTATAGACATAATCACATACATGTCCTACTCCACATAATTGATCACTCACAAGTAAGGGTAAGAATATGCCAAACTCTTAACATGGACTAAAAACTTGATCTATTTTAGAGCTAACTTAATTTACTTGCTAAATAGGCTCAAATTAAACTCAAACTTTTAATTTATCTTATTTAGTTAAATAGATCAAGCCTATTTTTTTAGGGCTTAATCTTCAAACCCAACAAGTTGGCTTATATATATATATATATATATATATATTATATAATATATCACAAACACATTATTTTCACCATTTTATTTTTAATTAATATTTTTTTATTTATAGTTATAATTTCAATTATATTAGACTTATTATATATTAATCTTAATGTTGTTATTTTATTGTTATATTATATTATAGTTAGTAAGTCTTTTTTTATTATTAATTATACTGAATAGAACTGATTTTCCTTTTTTATACATAAAATTGAAGTGAAAATAAATAGAAATTAAGAATATTTTTTAACCTAAATAAGAATAGTTCATGATATAAACTCGTGAACAGTTCATAAATTTTATATTTTATATGATAACGTTGTATTACTGATACTGATGCCAACATATATCTATGTGTATGTGTGTATATATATATTGCCAAACTAACACTAATACACACGCCATAGACTAGTAAAATTCATAGTAAAATATATTGTTAATAAACAAGTAAAAAATGTTACTCACCATCTTGGATCTCGCACCATACCCACTCTTGGTCACTAGATAATTATTAATCGTTAAAAAACCGCAAAAGAAACGTGGTAGGGAAGAATCAGATTCCTCGTCATCAAATAATTGTACGTTGGGGAATGAAAAAATAATAATAATTGTACGTTTGGAACTTTGGATGTCAAGAGGCTTCTGCACTTATGTATCAAAGATCGAAGTGCTAGTGGGCTGTTTTGGAAGGAACAGTGGAAGACTATTGCATTTGGAATACAATATCGTAGCAGTAATGATTTATATATATATATATATATATATATTTACTTAGTTCAGTGTAGACGACCTTTGTATTCTCTTATGTAGTCAGTAAAATCCTTTTTGTCAAAGAATTGAGCTAAAGTTCAGTCAAGGAGTCAAGACCATGGGACGAGGAAAAAAATTTATTTAAATATATATAAATAATGGAAAAATAATAATAATTAGAAAGTTAACTAATAATTGAACAGTTAACTTATTATCATTTAAGATCCAAATAGGATTAAAATTTGAAATATAAAAAAGTTTGGGTATAAAATATGAAAAAGCAATATAAAAACTTGTTCACTATTATTTTTTTTCCTGGCTAGGAGGGCATATTTAGGAATGAGTAAAACCGAACTAAAATTAAAAATCAAATCAAATTAAATTTTTGTTATTTAATTCAATTTATTTAATTTTTTAATTTCATTTAGTGTTTTTGAAAAAAAAAATTGGTAGATCAATTTGATTCAGTTGATAAGATTTATAATTGAATAGATCAAACCAACTGAATTATCGTATATATAATTTATTAATTTATAAATTATATTTAATTTATTAATTATTTTATTTTATTCTTTTTAATTTTATACTTAAATAAAAATAAAAATATAATCTGATCAGCTGAAACAATGACTCTTCATTAGGATGGGCTATTATCACTTTACATGTCCAATTTTATTGTTTTGATAAAAAAAAATTTAGCCCAAGTCAAAGCAACCCAACATAAAGTACAAAATTGAATTAACGAATCAAATCAAAATGTTTGTTCTGTTTATATTTTTGATACTGTTCAATTGATTAGTTTTATATGTTTTGGTACTGAACCAATTGATACTCATCTCTAAGCATATACCCATCGTACAAGTGGCTCCGCCGTTGCTAAATCCTATCACAATACCACATATACATAAAAATATTTTTAAAAAAAGATAAGCCAAGAAAATGAACAATAAAATAAAAATTTAAAAAAAAGAACGCTTGACAAAACGCCTCGCATTAGTCATGGTTTGAAATAACTTTGAAATTGACCGAGGATAACCTATCTAGCTAAAGTCAAAATATGCGTTTATAGTAAAATAATCTCAATAACTATCTTGTAACTGGAAGAATATCAAACTGACGCAAGCAATGGAGATCGAGTGAAGCGAAATCCTCTCGCTTGTTGAAAACCTGCAGATCCAATGAAGAACAAAGCAAAGACTTTCTTTCACGAAAAAAGGATGACCACGTGATTTTTTAACAAGTTAGGGTCCGTTTGAATTTCAGTTGGATATAATAGATTATAAAAATAATTAATTAAGTAATAAATTTTAATCATAATTGATTATGTTATGACGCAATATGTTTGTATATTATTTTTTTAAAATTAATTTTAACAGAATTAAAAATATTTGGATAATTTAATCAGAATCAATTTTAATTATATAAATTACTATATAATTTAATTCTTAAATATAAAAAATTAATTTTTTTGAGGATATAAAATTTAAATTTTATTAAGTTAAAAAAAAGAGTTTAATTTTATTTTTATTAAATCATATGATTTATTTATAATTTTCTTGTGGGCTTTTTTTGTAATTTTCTCCAACATTTTTTGATTAACTTTTGGGATTCCATCAACTTACGAAAAAACGCATGTAATATGCAAAAATTAATTTTTATCTTATTTTGACTGTTTGGACAATTTGTTAAAAAAATTAATTTTGGAAGAAAAAAATTAGTTTTTTCCCTTATCTAAACACACTGCTAATAGACTCTGAAAATCCCTTCAAAATAAAAAGTTGCTAGTAAAATTAAAATAAAAAAATAGTTGAAAACTAAGAGAAGAGTATTATAAAAAAAAAAAACAAGAAAGAAATAAGAGATGAGCTCCGCCCCGTTGGATCCATCATTTATGTTCCCTCTAGTTCTACTGTTCTAGGACAAGTGTTTTTTGATGTACGTGCGACTTGTCCATGGGACCGCCGTTCATGCTCCCCTGATTGAAATCAATCACGTCAACGCGTCCTTATTCGGGTGATGAGCGCCCTCACGGGACTCAATTTGGACCTTCTGCATCATTTTCAAATAGTATATGCCATTTATTTAAATTAGTTCTTAAATTAAAATATGCATTAAATTATTTAATTTTGCACATCATTTCATTTTAATTTATTAATTTTATAAAATATTTTTTAATCTTTTGACTCTAACACTATTAATTTTATTTTAATAAATTTTTATACTAAAATTTTAAATATTAAAAAAATATTTTTAAATATTAATATATTAAATTTAATTTTTTAAAATAACAATGATTGACATAAAAAATAATCATTTGAAATTGATAATATTAGAGATAAAAAATTAAAAAGGTACTTCACAAAATTAAAAAATTAAATTAAAATTTTATATAAAGTTTAAGGATTAAAAATATACCTTAATTTATTTTTTAAATATTTTTAATATTGTATCTATTAATATAAAAATTATAAAAAAATTTAATATTAAATTTAAATTATCTTCAATGCTCGTTAGGGAATAACCATCGTAGTACTTATCACCTCTACTGAGACCTAAATCATCCAAACTTAAAAAATTTTTATTTTTATTTTACATTTATTAAAATAAAAATTTGTAAAAATATAAAAGAAATTAATAAATTTGTTTATCACCAATCTGATCAGTACAGATTTAATATGAATGATCAAGTTTAATAAATTTTTTTATAATTTTATAATTTGACTATTCAGAGGTACTATAAAAATTTAGATATAATTTAAATAATCGAATTTAATATTAAAAATTATAAAATTTACAAATAGATCATTTAGATATGCTATGAATAGTTCAGATTCAATATTAAAATTTTTTATAATTTTTACATTAATAGATATAATATTAAAAATATTTAAAAATTAATTTAAATAAATGGCATGGATGATTTTAGAGTAAAATAAAAGGCCCAAGTTGAGCCATGTTTGATGAGCACACGATGCTAATCCTCACAAGTGATAAGTACGCGGTGTGAGAAACAAATTAGAAATAGAGGAAAATAGAAAAGAAATATAAAAGACAAGAGAGAAAGAGAGGGGAACAAGAAATAGAGAGATGAAGGATTAAAATAGGAGAGAGATAAAGAAATTGAAAATATTTATGGGTATTCAATTAAACATAATACCTGACTTATATTGGATCTTATATAGATATTAACAACTAACTCCCCAAAAAACTAAAGTTATTTAATCTTTATTTGTTTATTGTTTGCATATTAATGCCCTCCCCTTGAAAAGCTCTTGACCCCAATGATTGACAATCTGAACCCAATGACAAAAACAATCATTGAAAAAAATAGTACAAACAAACTCGCATATGAACTTTGTGATTTTTTGTCATTGTTTTCCTAATCCTTGCTCAGTACCTACAGTTTCTTCTAAACTGTTAGTTTGAAACTCAATAAGTGGAGTCTATATTGGTCGATTTGGTGAACAATCTATTACATCTAAAGGATGGTTTATGGCCATAAAAATGGAGGTTCTTTGATCGAAGATCATCAACCTCCTCTTGGTTTAATTTCTTTAAGATTTTTGAATTAGGATTTGAAGAAGAAGACCCTTCCATTGAAGATTTGCAAGAACTAAACCCCCTTGCCAATGAAAATGAGGGAGATTCAAGTAGATGTTCAGTCACACCCTTTAAAAAATGAGACCCATTACCTCCGGCTACTATTTTCTCCTCCTTTTCTTTTTTTGATGAGTGCAAAATGCTAGGAGAAGAGTTGTCAAGTCCAAACCAGTACAACTTTTCCCATGTACCTTTATCGAGCGTGTAACATTCTAAAAAATTTAACCTTTAATTAGTTGAATAAGTGAAGTTAATTAAGCAAAAATTAATGTGGTGTGTAGTTATAGAGAGCTAACGAGTGTTTTAGGTCATAATTTCAACCCAAGGATTGAGTCTGAAACTAAATCGAGCCACCCAGGCATCAAAAATTAAGAAAAATAAAAAGAAAGGGCTCTGTGTTACATGCTGTAGCACATTGACAGGATGTTGTGATGCATAGGCCACCACAAGGCAGGAACACCTTTGTAACACATGCTACGGGGTGTGGTACATGCATCGCAGCGCATGGTGACAAATCTATAAAAATAAGTCCCGAAAACATATAAGAAACAAAAAAGGGAGCAAGAAGCTCGTGGAAACCTCTGCTAGGGCTTAGGATTTGGAAGTATTGAGAGTATTTTGAGGCTCCTGAACACTAGATGTAAGTTTCCTGAGATTGCATCTCTCTTCCTCTTCCATTTTTCTTGAACTTAGAAGTTAAAGTTTAGTTGAAAAAGATGATTTTTGATTCATAGATGCTATGAGTTTAAATTCATTGACTTAAATAGAATTAGTGAAAGCTATTTAAGTTCTAAACATATAATTTATGGTGTTGTGAATTTTGATAGTTATGGGGTAATAAATACTTAAAATTTTACCATAAATGAGGTGGTTGGGACAATATGGCTTTATTAATGGCTAGTTGGAAGTTCAATGAAGTTAAAAAAAGTTAGAATAAGTTAATAAATCCTATAAATACCTTTAGAATTGAGGAGAATGAATCTTAAGAGTGTTGAACTAAGTGTTGGAAATTATCCTAAAAGAGGATCTTGAAAATTATTTCATGATTTATTATAGATCAACTACCTATTTGTATCATTCAAGCTTTGTGAAAGCTTTGAGAGTAAGTAATTGATGGATTAACATTTAACCTCTTAAATGTTTGAGGTAATCAGGAAAAAATTTTTCTTGTATTTTTGTGTGTTAATTGATTTATTGATTTAAATATTATAATTGAGATATGTGAAATTATTGAAATACAAGTGTGGCATTATAAGTAGTTCAATGATTATTGCATGTGAAGGGGGTCTAATGATTGTGTATTATAAGAAGTTCAATGATTGCATGTAAATGGAGTTCAATGATTGTGTGTTATGTAAAGTTCAATGACTATGTGAGATGTGAAGTTCTATGATCAATTGTGAATTGAGAAAGTGTAGAGTACAATGAAATAAGTTGACATGTTAATATATGAAATATTTCCATGCCTGTATTTGAGTAACGGTATGCCCTAAAATGTTACAATATTATGCATTACATGATCATGAGAGGTGAGAGTTTGCCTTAGAAGAGAAATAGGGAATTAAAACCCATGTGATAAGGTTACTATTATAGCTCAATGGTTTGCCTGAATTTATTTGTATTTATTGTCTCACTTTTTTAATAAGAGACTGTTCCATTAGTTCAACAAGAGACTCGAACCTAACTAGTTTTTTACTTATTTGATGATGAAGTTAGTTTAGGAAAAATGACATCCCGTAATGTGAGATTTAGGAGAAATTGTGACCCATGAACAAGGTAGGCGACCTTGGCTGAGTAGCCCCTCACACATGAATGGTTAGGGTAGTCTCATTTTATAGACCATTTCAATGTGTTATAGCTTATGGTTTCATGTTAAAGGCACAATGAAGATACAAGAAAAGTATGATCATGTGTATAATGATAAAAGGGCACATAGTTGTCTGTTTTACAACCTTAGTGATGAAAATCTTGTGATTAGTCTTTTATCCATATGAAATTATGTTACCGAGTCATTATCTCATGAGTATATGCTATTATGAAAGAGAAATGTGAACGGTTTCCTTGAATATGTTAAATGATTTGAAAATGATATCTTTGCCACTTGTGGTTAAATCGATTGACATGCATTAATATAAGTTAAATGAACTTTTGTTACTAAGTAATTGCACTTATCCCTTTCTCTTTAATATTATAGGAGCTAGCTCATCAGGTTAAGATTGAGAAAAACTGCCTGAGGCTTAAGATTTCTATCCTAAAATTGTAGGCCTCATTTATTTTGAGTAGTATATGTGTATAATTAATGATAATGTTGCCGACTAGGAGTTTTCATGTGTGCTTACATGCACTGTGTATTGTTCAATGTTAAATTGTGTATTTTAAACCTTAAGTTGTGTATATGATAATTGTGACGTATTAAACAGGGCTAAAATACTAGTGTAGATATACTGTGTATATGATAATAATAGTTGTGTATATGTGATTGATGATGATTAATAAATGATTAATACTATGGAGGCTCCCCTTTCTATTTTAAAATTAAAGGGTTGAGCATTTAAAATATGTTATATATGTTATTTACGAGATATGGTGTATTGTATAGGTTTGTTATGGTCCATTGAGTGTAGTCTAGGTGGTAAATTAGGCTCTCAGCACTTGCAATGTGAATTGACACCCAAGTTGTGTAATAAGATTAAAAAAGAGTGAGTTTTGAAATGAGTGTCTAACTTTTTGATTGGCAAATGTTATGGTTGTGAAATCAATGACATTAGTTAGAGTTAGGAAAAAGCTTTTTATAAACACCTAAATCACATCAATCAAATGTCAAATGAAAAATGGGGCGCGTCAAAAGTTTAACTTTGATGTTGTTAAATGACAACAATATTGCTGTCAAAATTATGCAATACGCTACAATGCATGGCACAAGGGGCATACAAGCCGCGACGCATGCCTGTTTTCTATAATGTTTCACTGTTTACAATTTTTATGCAAATGGTTTGATTTTTTTTTTTGGATTCCTATACTTTCGCATACTAATGAAACTCTGATTTTCAACTTGTAAAAATATTTTCAAGAGTATTAAATTAAAAAAAAACTTGGGATGCTATTGTATAATTTTACAAACTCAATAATCCTATTTGAGATAATACCATGATTACCTTGAATATGGAGTTAATTAGATATTAGTAAGGGAGACCTTATAGGTTAAATTTTTCACGAAACTCTTGGATGTGAAATTTTAGTAAATGAGCTTGGCATATAGCATTTTGCAGTATGATGGGCTTTAATAGTCTAAAGGGCTCAACAAACTTTTCTTATAAGCCCTCAAGACAAGTTTATACTAAATAGTCTTGTCTTAGGTTGAGTTTGCAAACAATTTCATCAAATGAGCTGCTGTAGTTGGCCAAAGTTCCTATTTGTCACATACGCATAATTCAAGTGATGAACATCGAATGCAGAGATGTAATCATCAATCGATTACCAACTAATCAATTAAATTTATAGGAACAAATAATTTTATTTGTAGATATTTAAACTTTGTGTGGTCAAACTTAAAAGGTCTTGATTTCGTGATAATATTATAATTATGAAAATAATATAAAACATAAAAGACATGCTCCCACCGTTTAAAAATATAAGGTATTTTTAACCGAATCTCACCCCAATAAAGTAGTTATCTACTTTCAAACTAATCCTATTTTTTCATATTTATCTTTATTAAATATTTTACAATAAATATAAAGTCATTATCGATAGGGATACTTTTGAGAAAAGGTAATTATTATACCTCAAAAAACTAAAAATATCTTATATTTTTTAACATTTAACTCTTCAAAAAATGTCTTATGTTTTTGAATGAAGGGAGTATGTGAAATCTAGTTTTTATTCTATATGTTATATCTATAATTAAAAGAAAATGAGATTTGTTTACACTACTCTTGTATTTGTGTTAGCACCATTACAATTCTGTTCTTATATTTAAATTATGTACATATTGCTTTCAATATTTTAGAGGCAATATTTTTTAGTTGTTGCCAGAGCTTGCTTCCTCCATTTATCAATTATATACACAATATAAATTTGTAAAAAAATTATATTATTTATGAAAAATTGACAGTCCATTTACTTCTGACTTGAAAGGAAGCACAAAACTCGTGTATATTCTAGGTCGTCATTGTATTAGATTGACGTCAAACCATTTATCATATTCCACCCTTCACGTGGTACGGAACAAAGATTGATAAGCGAAGAAATAATGGATCTTGGACAAGAGGTCCAACATAATTTTCCGTTAGTCAGGGTGAGAAGTCATATAAATCAAAAATACCTGTGTCTCATATATATATATATATATATATATATATATATTCATTAATAATAAAGAAAAGAAAATCTGGGGAATTGGTACTTTCCTTACCGAAGCTTGCCGTGGCATAAGATGATGCCAAAAAGAACGGCACTATATTATAATCAACGAAGAAGAACGGCAAAGGCAGAAATGTAGGCAGGATCGGCCTCAACCCTCATCCTACAAAATGCTTCCTCCTGGGATCCTTAATCTTAATCTTCCAATGGCCACTGTCCAGACTGGAGTTCCTGGCTCTGCTCCTCCACATCATCAATCTCTCGTCCATCTTCTTGGTCAGCCCACAGTAAGATTGCAGATCCTTGGGCATCTTTTCATAAACCTGCCACCACTTCCTGTTGGCGAAGTCACTCGCAAACACACGGTGATCCTTCAGGTCCCAGTTGCAATCATAATCTTTATAACACATCCACGGCTTCAATCCCAGATAATGTATAGCATAAACACCCTCCAGTTCCGTCTCCTTCTCTGCATCCTTGTTCCCTCGACGTTCGTGAAACTTCAGGTGATTCAGCTTCGAAGGCAATCTATGCCACCACGTGAATATCTCGTTCAGAAAGCCCTGATCGCCTCCGTTGTACGACTCCACTTCGAATCTTTTCTTCATCATCTCGTCGAACAAGCACTGGGATGGTTCAATTATCATCAACCCAGAATTGAAAAACGAGAAATCATTTGGTGCGGCTGAGAGCTGAGGGTAAGCGGAGAAGTCGAGGATGTTCTTCAGGACCAGGAGATCGGAATCAATGAATATGACTTTGTCGTACTGTGTGAGTTTCCACAGTTGCAGCTTACTGTAATTCCATCGGTTGTATGAATTCTTTTTGGCGAAGGGGCTGAGGATGCGTTTGATGCGCTTGATCTTCCAGCCTGCGGCTTGAAGGCCTCTTGTGGATTTGGGACTGATGGATTTATCAGCAAGGAGGATTAAGTCTGCGCTGGGCTTGAGGGGATAGTGTTTAAGGGTGTGAAGGATGCTTTGGGCTAAAGCTATTGCGCCACAAACGTAAGCTTCTGAAGAGTGAAGGATTGTGGCGTAGGCTACTCTCGGGGCCCGCGTGGTAGAGTTGTTGTTCTTCAATTGGGCTGATTGTGACATATAATGCCCCCTTAGCTCTTTACCTGCAGCAGAACCACACATGCGTTTGAGCAACAAAACCTCTCAATATAATCTTTGGTCCTGTGGAGAAGAATAAGGGTGAAAGAAAGAAAGCAGCTACATTTTTTGTAAGGTGAACTGGAATTCACTATTTACCTCTGTTGCAATATACAAATAATGTCTAATTTAAACCATCCAAACTCAGCTGCAATGTATAAATCCGTACACTCAAGGGTTCTTTTTTTTTTTTTTGAAGGTACTATTATGCATTGGCAACAATATATTGTGTTATATAATTAGAAATTTACTCTCTCACTATCATTTTCATAAAGCATTTCTAGACTTCTTATTGGAACTAATGAGAGACTACTAACTCATTAATTTTGTCCCAAAAACAACTGTGCCCTTATTTAAACCCATTTTAATGAGAAAACGAGCGAGTACTAACATTAAAAAAGGACAATACAGAAAAGCGGTAATAATTGCTTCTTTGGGTGTTTTTATAAGACTAAACATGTCTTCTAAAAATGTCCCATATTAGGTTGAGTATAAGTAATGGGAGGAGCATAAGTATATCGGAAAAAATATGTCCGACCAGCTCGCACCATACAATTTGAAGGACGGTGATAGTACTTTATTAGGTTGAGTATTACTGGAAGAAACGCATGGATTGAAATTAGCTGGAGCATTGTATGTTGACTGTTCTCCATCACCAATAGTTTGCTTTGAATGTTAATGAAGAATGTTGACCAAAACAGCTACGCAACGTAATCCAGAAAATGACGAACGCGAGGCTGAATCAAGTAGAAAATGGTCGACGTTTGCAATAAATACACCTTCCTGGCAGTGCCATGATTAATGCGTTAAATATTTAATTTATATATATATATATATATATATAATCTTCTCTGTGATCAATTTATTTGATTTAGGAAAAATATCAATAAATTATACGACATTGACCAGATTTATTTTAAATCAAACCTCTAAACTTTTAAAATATTACTATAATTCAAGGATTCTCATTTGATGTATATTAATTCTTTTAGAAAAATAATAAAATTGTTCCTCATTCAAATTAATATCAGAACTATCTTACTTTATTTGTTTATTACCCTATTTTATTTATTCATTTACTTACAAAATGTTATTTATTACTCTACTTCACTTGACCTCATTCTAAATATTTAAAATATCTTAAGACAACTTACTAATTTCTATATTATATATTATTTATTTACTTACAAACTATTATTTATTATTTTATTTCACTTGTTCATTGTTTTACTTTTACTTAATTTCATTTCAGAGAAATGAATAAATGAAGTAGGACCGTTCTGATATCAATATAAGCAAGAAAAAATTTATTATTTTTTAAAAATTTAATATTAAATCAAAACTCTTGAATTGCAATAAAATTTTAAAAATTTAAGGCCTTTGATTTACAATAAATCTAATTGAGGAATCTTTATTAATATTTTCCCCTTGATTTAATATAATTGATAGGACCTTATCCGCCAAAGTCAAATGGAGATATGATTTTATATCTCATAATTAATATAGGTTAAAATGCATAAAAAAATTTTAAATTTTGAGACAGTTACATATAACTCCCTCACTTTAAAAATTTAAAATTAACCTTATTAACTTTTAATTTTATTTCTCAAAACTTTCTATTGTTAATTATGTTGTTTTTCCATGAGAATTAACATGTTTAGCTAAAACATTTTATTAAAAAAAATATTACTTTCTCCGTTTAAAAATGTAAGATATTTTTAATTTTTTGAGGCATAATAATTACATTTTTTTCAAAAGTATCATTATTGATAATAACTTTATATTTTATTGTAAGGTATTTAATAAGACCAAGTATAAAAAATGGTGTTAGTTTGAAAGTAGGTAACTACTTTATTGAGGGGTAAAATTTGATTAAAAATATCTTACATTTTTTAATAGAGAGTATATTGTATGACTATTTATAATAAATTTCTTATATTTTTTAGATAGTTGAGGCATTAATTTAAAAAAATTATTATCATTGTATAAAATTTTAAACATGTATGTTTATATTAGTTTTATTTATGTTTTTCTGTTATCAATGGTGCATGATTTTATTATTTTAAAAAATAAATTTTTATTTATATTTCATATTAGATTAATATAATACATATAGCTAAAATATTTAAAATTTTAAATATTACCATGCTAGATTAATTTATCTTTTAATATTAGAAAAATATAACCATTGATAACAAAAAAATATAAAAAATAATATAAAAGTAAATATTTAAAATTTTATATGATGATAATAACATTTACTTGGGTTATTATCAATGCCTTAATTATTCAAAAGATATGAAAAATTTATTATAAATAGTTATTCAATATAATATTTTTGTTTAATAATATTTTTTTAGTTGAATCAAATTTTAATCCTCATAAAAAATATAATTAATAATAAGGAGTTTTGTAAAATAAAATTAAAAATTAAGGAAGTTAATTTTAAACTTTTAAAGGTGAGGGTTTATATGCAACAGGTTCAAAATTAAGGAAATTTCACACATTTTAGTCATTAATATATAATATAATCCGTCGATCATCCTTCCTACTGGCAAAGACAGATAAAAGGAACAAAACTTGAAAAACGTGATTCTAATCAAAAGAGAACCAGAAACATACCTGTTTCTACAAAATTGGGAGCAATCTGGCATGAACCTACAGGCATAAGCGTTAGCTTCCTGAGCCTGGTTAACTGAGGCTTATACACCCAATACTCGCCTTCATGCGTTACCAGATCATCGCATCTGAAGATCTCAATCATGGGACTACATCTCCCAACGAACACAACATACACCGTTCGATGAGAGTCAACATTCAACCACCCACTCTCCACCGTCAGATTCGCCACCACCAAGTTCACCTGTAACCTAGACACGTCCCTGACTCCTTCATCCTCCCTCCCGCACGGAACCCTGGCCACCACCACATTTAGATCCCGGCGAGTCACCGGCATCGGCATTCTCGGGCACCTCGGTGGGCCCCGTTTCTGATCTTCATCAATCCACTCTGGAAAAAAGTCTTTCCATTTCAAATTCTCATCAACACGATCAAAATTGACAGGCACTGTCTCTACTCGCGGAGGCAGGTGTTGTAATAAGCTAGCGTCGAGTTTTTGATTGATGTTAACGAGACCTACCCTGATCCTGTCGGTCTTTAGATGTCTTGCTATGAAATCGAACCAAGCCGGAGGTTCTGCGATTTCTTGTTCTTCGTGACGAAGCAGGCGATAGGTGAATTTAGGAGGTGGGGATTTCTGGGGCTTAAGTGAGTGGGAAGAGAGAAGGAGGAGCAGAGAGATGAGAAGAAGACAGATAAGAAAAGGTATTTGCATAGAAGACGGATGAGCAGGTGAGGAGGAAGACTTGGAAGAAGCCATGTGAGAGTTGATGAACTAATTCCTACTGCAACTGCTGCGTGTGATTGAGGGTTTCATATATGAGAAGAGGGTCTCTTTTTAATTTCTAAGTAAGATGAATATTGGAGAGACGGCTCTGATGATGCGAGATTGCGCATTCTTACAAATACTTAATGGGTTTTCATAAAAGACATTTTGCATGGCGGCACGTTGAGGTCTACGCGCGCGCGCGGAGATTTCGGAACGGGATCGGCGTGAGAGATGACTTTACTTGCAGAGGAAGATAGTGTTGCAGGAGTGAAAATAGAGTACGAAGGGAAGACAAATCACAAAGATGCATAGGCCAAAACAGACAAGCTGAGTCAAGTATCATGCCACCCATATATGCATTCAGATAACATAAAATGTCTATTTGGATGAAGGATTACCTTGAAATAGTACTCTTAAAGAGCGCTGGGACTTTTAGATAATTATTTCACCCAGAATAAAACTTTAAATTAAGGGGACCCAATTGACATTTTGACAACAAAGGAAAAATTATTAATTGGTGAATGGTTTAGGTTTGTAAGAGAATATTTTGTAAGTTAAGCGAGTGTGTGTGTGTGTGTGTCAATCGCTCACCTAATATGGTACTATTTTTAATCCACCGCGCAGCGTCATACGTGAGAACATTGCATTGGCCAGGCTCGTCTACGATTTGCCTGCCGAACCGAATTGAGATTTTATATATTAATCAATGAGGTTGTTACAACTTAAACGACATAAAACGTGCACGGGTTATCGATTGGCTGAATATTTGTTTTGTAAAGATCAGTCGTTGGGCAATCATTAGCATCCCCGCCAATATTTTCAGTCTCTGCGCGCGGGTGTGTAAATGGAGAGTTCTTTCTCTGTTCTAATTAAATTATGCATTGTATTAATGAGGATTGGGTCGTTAGAAATGGATTCGCTCCTGGTAACCAATTAAAATTTAAATCCCGATTAAGAGAGGGCATCTATTCTAATTAAACATGGTTGGTTACAATAAAAAGCAACTATCTTTCTCTATTCTAATTAAATTATGTATTGTAATGCAATTTTTTAAAAGGTTAGATATTTTTTAAAATGAATGTTACGATGGATGTGCGGACATACACGTAAAGATAAAATTCGAAATGAGCACATACACGAAAAAGTGAGGGTGGCACCTATTGAGGAAAAAATAGTAGAAAATCGGTTGAGATAGTTTGAGCATGTACAAAGAAGACCAAGGGAGGCACCAGTGAGAAGAGTAGAACATATAACTTTGAGTCCGATTAAGAGAGGTAGAGGAAGGCCTAAGAGAATACTCTTGGAAGTTGTTGAACGTGATCTCTTAATTAATAATATTCTTAAAAGCTTGATAAATGATAGAGCACAATGGCGTCTTGCAATCCATGTAGCCGACCCCACCTAGTGGGATAAAGGTTTGTTGTTGTTGTTGTTGTTGTTAGATATTATTTGAGCTTAAAATTAAAACGTCAATGTAATAAGGAGAATCGAGATTTAAGACACAATTGATCCAAGGAGCATAACACGGTCCACTAATAAAAAAGAAAAGCGTGCCACGCGCAAGCTTAACTTAGCCTTGAAGACTCGAGATAACTAGACATACAAGATTATTGAAGGGATATGGTGTATCATGCCATAAATCTCACAAGCCATGTTAATGAATCTTTGATATTTCGTGAACAAGCTCTAAATTTCATAGGATAACAATCTCAACTAAAAAATTATAAAAGGAGTAGAAGATTATAGAAAAAGGATGGACAATCAATCATCAACATCCATTAATATTTTCATTAATTTTTTTTTGCATTTTTAGATAGTTTCTAGAAGTATTTTTAGCTTTGTAACCTTTACAACTTTGTACTCAGTACACTTATTAATCAAAACACTCATTTATTCTGATCTCTTTGCATTTTTGCATTGCATCGAGGCAAATTATGGTAAGAGAGGTTAGGAACATTTTGTTATCTTTGAGACTCAGCGTCTCTAACACGCTTGGTACTTTTTGTTGTTTGTAGGGAACATATATTAAAAAATATAAGACATTTTATATTTATTTTAAAGTGAAACATCTTATTAAACAATGGTAAATAAAAGAAGATGGTGTTAGTTTAAAGATAAGTGACTATTTTATTAGGAGGGTGATGATATTTAGTTAAAAATATTTTAATTTTTTAATGGAGGCAGTACATGTATACAATTTAAATCATATATCATGATATTCCATTAAGGCTTGATCAGGATTAGGTGTGCTTTTTTTTTTTACATTGTTAATAGATCTTTAGTAATAACATATAGAGTCGATAATTTGGGCTAAACCCAACAGGTCAGCCTAAAGCCGCCCAAAAAATTTAAATCCAAGCTTAAAAAAATTATTTTTATTATTTGGGCCAAACCCGATCTAGTTCGGGCTTGACCTGAATACCCGAATAAAAAAATAAATTTTTAAAAAATATATAAAATATGATAAATATTAATTAATTTTTAAGTTTTATATCATTTTATATCAAAATACTATATATATAAGTGTTTTAACGTAGTTATTTTTTTAAAAAAAATAAAAATAGTTAGATTTCATATTTTATTATTTTTAATCAATAAAATAGCTCAAAATAATATTTAAAATATATTTTTTAAAAAAATTTGACTCCTATAAATCATTTGCATGTAAAAAATAATTTTATATTTTTTATAAATTAAGATAATTAATTTTAAAGTAAAAATAAAATTAAAAATAATTTTAAAAATAAAATTTAGGTATGTACGAATTTTCAACTCTGCTACTAGATAAACATAATAAATAAAATAATATTCTTAAATAATTACTTGGTTATTGTCCATGTTAGATTTGGTTAAAAATTAAGAGTAAACTAGAGTAAGAATTCCTTTTATATAAGAGTTAAACAATATAAAAAGTTAAAGAAAAATAATTTCAAAAAAATAATATTTTAATCATAATTAAGTAATTTTTTTATATAACATAATGATGGAAATTTTTTATATTCATAAAAATAAAAAATAAAATTTATCAAAAGTTATTAAAAATTTTAAACTAGTCAAGATAATAATTTTAAGTTAGTAGTCTAACTATGATTGAATTGAGATTAACTTAATCATAATTAAAATAATATAACAATTAAAATATGTAAAATATTTATATATGACTATAATAAGAGCAATATTTAAATAATTAAGACATTAATTTATAAGTAAAGGAAATATTTATAAATAAATTATATATAATATAATAAAATAATAACAGAGCTACTTAAATATAAAGTTGATAAGTTATTTTTTATTTTATTCTTTTAAAATTAAGATAATATTTTACACTTAATAGAATTATTTAAAAATTAAAATTAATTCAAAAATAAAGAAAAATACTTTTAATAAGCTTTAGATATTCGGGCTAACTCGAATAAGCCCGAAGTCTAAAAGTGTTAGGGTTGGATTTGGCTATATAGACTTTTTAAAAGGAGTATGATATTTTAAACTCAATTCAAATAAGATTGATCCGCCTAAATTATTGACTCTAATAATATAACTGGGTAATTTAATTGAAAAATACACACCTAGTGCTCTCCCCCACCCACTTTTTTTTCGAGGCATCTCTTGTTTTTCAAACATAACCCCTTATTTTAAAAAATTAGATTGAATCCTATGCGTTGTATGGATTTTACATGAGAGAGTTAAGAGAAGTAATCTAGATACAAACATTTATGCATATAATGTTAAAATTTTACTAAAGCATGGCAAAAACTTACTATCCTCCTCCATATTCTAAAATTCTCAAACTTTTTGCTAATCATCAATATATATGTCTATAAATCTTGTACAATGAAGGTGATTGGTTATAAAGTTCTTATCTCCTATTGGTCAACATACTTCGGTATAATATTAATTATCCTCTTCCATTGGTCGATTAATTTTTATATAATCAATTTAATTTTAATCTAATATTAATATTATTATTTTATTAGTTGATGTGATTGAGTTTTTTCTGCTAATTGGTTGGCATAATTTAATTTATTTTTATTAATTTTAATTAATTTTTATCTTTTTACGGGATGATCAATTTAAACGTGATTGAATATTTTTTATGGTTTGTTGACAGAATTTAATTTATTTAATTTCTTTATTTTAATTGATTTTTATCTTTTTACAGGATGATCAATTTAGATGTGATTAAATATATTTTTTTGATTGGTTGACAAGATTTAATTTATTTCTTATTTATTTTGATTGATTTTTATTTTTTTCATGGGATGATCAACTTAGATGTGATTGATTTTTTTTTTTGATTAGCTAACAGAATTTAATTTATTTTATTTATTTTAATTGATTTCTCGCTTTTTAGGAAGAAACTCAAGAAAATTGCATCAAAAGAAAAAGAAAGTAACCAATGAAGGTTTAATCATCAAAACAAAAGGGCTATAACCTTAATATGCTCATATGTAGTAAAAGAAACATGAAAGTTAACAGACAGAAATGAATAAAATACAAATTGATGCCAAATCACTATAGTACCTGCACAAAAGAAGACTAGTTAAGATGTTGTCTTGAAAGATGAGTTTTGCTTACATATAATCGATACAACGCTTTGTCCCTTGAAGGTGGGCACCAACTTGCGGGAAGTTGTTTTTGATCCTAATATAGTCATAAGTGCCTCTCGTTAAGAAAATCAAGCAAAAGAGCACTAAAGCCATAAATTGCACTTTCTGTGTTACTCTCCCCGCAGAAGAAAGAAGAGCTATTATAATTTCTAAATCACCCAAATCAACATAGAGACATCTATCCAACCAACAGAGGTCTCTTCCCAGTCATAATTCCTGGTGTTACTCTCCTTGCAAGAGAAAGAAGAGCTATGAAAGATGTTCAGTGAAAGATGCAAAGTCAAAAATACTAATAAGATATAGTCAAAAATTAAGAATGCAAGAAGAAATAAATAAAGAGACAAACAAAATATGAATACGTGAAGATATATGAAGGGCATAAAAATATAGGGGAAGTAATTAGAAAAAACTAACCTTCTGGCACTGTAGCAACAGTTTGAGGGTAATATGATAGAAGATTGGAAAACCAAGATAATCCATAAATACTATGAAGAATGATGAAATTGAAGGGAAGGTTTCCTAAATTCACTTCTTCCATTTTATTTGAAGATGAAATTTGAATCTGTTTGAGGCGGCAAGAGAAGTAGAAGCCAACGAGAAAGAGAATCCCATTTTGAGTGAAAATAATTCCATCGAGAGAACAACAGATATGATTTTGTTTTGAGATTTGAATCCAAGATAGAGAATGGGAGAGATAAAGTTGAGATTAAACAAGGGAAAAGCAATAGATGGATAAAAGAATCATATTCAAATCTCACCTTTCTTCCTCCTGTCTCACTCTCTGACCTAATCGACACCACCAAGATCGAAACAATCAGCTCCCTCACCGTCGCCCACTCCCTCTGTTTCTCTTCATGCCTCATTTCCTGCTGCCGTCATCGTCGACCTCTTTGGCACTGATGCATTCTATGTTGCCCTAGGATTCGGTGCCTCCTCTAACTTCTTTCATTTTATTTGAAGATTGAAGATAAAATTTAAATCCATTGAGGTAGCAAGACAAAGAGAAAACAGGGGAAATAATCCCATTTTGATGGGAAAAAATTGATGGAGAGGGTCAAACAATAGAACAGATTTGATGAGATTATTCTGAAATTTAAAATTTGAATACGAATGATGAGAATAATGATAGGACATGGAGAAATGAGGAAAAGAAATAAGCAAGGTGTATGCGGATGTCATTAATGCTCCCGTGCAATTAGCAAATTACATTACACTCGATCGAAATGAAATTTGAAAATTGGGGGGACTGCATGCTAAACGAATGACCTGGACTATATAATTGGACTCATATTAACTAAAACAAACCAATCAAATTTTGATATTTACATATAACCAATGTCTATCAGCCAATTAGAGTGGATATTTTTTTGGCTAGTCATATCCATTCTACGAGATTTGTAGGATGTAGTTTATGTGTATAATAGAGACGAATAGAGGAGCACATGAGAAACATCCACGACGAGCAGGAAGGGGGATATATGAGAGGGATATATTTGGTAGGTGAACAAAATATACATTACCATCCAAATTAACAGGGGTATAATAGATCAGTTTTTTTAATTTTTTTTTTAACCAAAATCATGGTTTAGATTCCCATAATTGATTATAGATGCCTATCCAAACAGGGACTAAATAATGGGGAACTCAACTAGGACCTTGAATATTGAGGGGAAAAAAAGGAGCTTCAAAGGAAGAAAATTACAGAAAATATCCAACAGAATTTGAAGTTTCTTTGGAGAAAAGGATTCACCTAAAATTATATTTTCAAGTTAAAAAGTAAAAAATGCCCTTGATTTCCATGGACACCATTTTGAATGTTGGAAGTTCCTCATGAAAAATTGGTTTGTTAATTTTTTTTTTGGCCTGAATATTGGTTTGTTAATATAAGATGTGGATTTGCAAATTTATGAATATTTATATATTTTTTTTAAAAAAAGTTGAATGGATTACAAGTTGACACTAGAGGTTACAACTAGTCTTGGACATATGCTTGTCAATATAAGAACTTGTAGTTGATAATATAATATATAACTTTGTATAGGTTGTTTCAAAATATAAAATATTCTAGGGGTATAAATGACAATGTATTTTGTCCATTGTTGTTCTAGTGGGGCAGATTCTACAGTTAAAAAATCTTATGAGAAACGATTATTTATCCCATGACAGTGTTTTTTGCCCATTGTTATTAGCAAAAAATGCTGCAATGGAACATTTATTTGATAATTTTTGAGGCAACTTGTAATACATATCAAAATTTGAACATCTACTTGTCAATTATAAAATTTTGGCTGTCAAGCTTTAAAAATATAGTTGTTATTGACAAATAAATATTCAAACATTGAAAAGTAAGTTACATGCTTTAATGAGCAAACGTTGGTTGTTATACTCGTGTCCGTTAAAATATAGAAGAATTACAGTTAGGTCTCATATAAGAGAAATGGATCTTACAGTAATTAATTTTTTTATATGGGACTTCAATGTAATTGTCTCTTAAAATATCTCATACAAGTTATCAATGATATTCGCAACTATAAATTTTAATATTGATGATAAGCAAGTCTACAACTGCTACTCGTCTCTAGTGTCAACTTGCAATGCATTTATTTTTTTGCAATCCAAATTGTAAATATTTTATAGATTTTACAAGTAATAGATGGACAAGATAATATTCATGTTTTTACAACAATAAAAAATTCAGTTACTCAAAAAGATAACATTCATGTTTTTCAAGATACTAAAGACCGGATCGGTCATTAAACCAGTCAAGCCAATTGGTTGTGAGTTAGTGGTTCAACTTGGATTGAACTAAGGGTCAACTCGGAGGATAAATTGATTATGATTAAAATAATATAATTTAAATAAGAAGACATCAATCATGAAAATATTCAACAAAATCTAAGATTAATCTCTAACACAAGATACAAATACAACAATAATTATATAATTACAACCACCCAAATGTCTAACAATAATAAAATGCAACTTTTTAAATATCCATTATTACAATTACAATTTACAACCCTTTAATTATTAAAAAGTCTAAAATTAATCATCACTAACACTAAAATTATCAACAATGACAATCATAATTCATAAATGCTAATCAACAATTAGATAAATGAACAACAGCCAATAATAAAAGATTGAAACAATTAACTTAAAAAAATATTGAATCTTTTAAGTTCAAACTTAAAAATGAAGGCTCTCTATTCAAAATTAAATTACAGATAGTGAAATCTAATTTAATTGCCTTGCCCTCCATTGCTTTGCTTTTTTAATTTTCAAGCTTAATTTTTTTATTTTTTATTTAGTTTTTACAATTTTAAAAAAATAAAAACAAAAAAAAATTAAAAAGTGATCCGACAGGCCCAGTAACTGGGTTATCCCGGTCACACTAGGTCAGTGGCTGGCCGATTTAGGTAAAAACTCAGATCAAAAAAATATCGAGTCATCGGGTCACAGGTTGGACCGGTTGATCCAGTCCAAGTTTCTATATAATGGTATTTTTACATCAAGTACACATTTTACATTACCAACATAATTTGCACTTTCAACATTCAAAAAGACCTCTGTCACAAATTATGGGCACTTTTAAGCTTTTCATTTCAAAATATGATTTCACTTTGATTTTGCAAGCTTGTAGAGAAATTTTAAATTACATTAAACATTCTCTATAATTATAGTCTTTTTGAGGACCCTAAAAACAACTCTCCCCTAGAAAATAAAATGCATTCTCCCTGAGGCTATGGCGACAAGTTTGGATCGGTGATAACAACACTGTGAAAGCATGTTTACCCCGCTGCTGCTCTTAAATATACGTTTGAACATTAGTTTGGAAGTCCAAACCCAATTTTTACAAACCCAGTTTCCATTAATCATGGTAATAGCTCATCCCATGGAAGCGCCTATTTAACTTGGATGCCAAAAAAAGATAATCGGACTTTCCTTCAACCTTCAGGCAAATCCGGGAATTCATTGTTTTCTTCACTTCATCCACTTTTAGTTGGAGACATTACATTATAACCAGCAATGCCGAGGAGATCAATAATATGCCAATGCTATACATGTAAGGATGGGAAGCTTTTTTTCCCCCTCTGTTTGAGGCGGCAAACAAGTTTTGTAAGATATGCAGGAAGTTATGCGCCCACAATCCAATTTTTTCCCTTCTAACTTTGTTTAAAAGAATTTGGGAGAATTACAAACAGATCTCATATAAAAAAATTAATTACTATAATAACTAAACTAAATTACATTGACAGTTATCAATAAATTTTATAATAATTAATTTTTTTATGTGAAATTTTAATGTAATTCTTTAAAGAATTTCCCTCTCTAACTTTTTATTTCGTTTAAAACATCTTACAGGGTCTTTGCATAATAGGATAAATGGGCCTCGTTCATAGACCAGCCCATTAAAGTCGCGTGCTCCTCGTCAACCTTCCAAAAGTGACAAATGGAACAGTGGCTTCAGCCTTCAGCGTCCAGATAAAAGAATATAACAAGACAAATTAAAAAGCGGTCGATCAAAAACTGGTGGAAAAATAAAACAAACGCGGGTGACTGACGGAAGAGAGATCCGGGGGAGCATAAGGTAGAGGAGGAATAGGAAGAAGCAAGATTTGTAAAAATGATGTCCGGAAACTATACGGCCATCGATAATCAAAAGGTTTCTGGATCCGTACCTGTGAGTTTATCTTCCAATTCCTAAAAATCTTTTTTTGATTCCCTATGACTGTTTGGGTTTTAGATCTCACTCTGGAATCCCTGTTTGATATGGCAGGCAGTTCCAGATCAAGGGCATGTCGCCGTCAAGTTCGCAGGTACAACTGTTGTTTTCTCGAATTTCATTTCCAATTTATACTATTCGCTTTTCTTGCCTGGGAGGTTTCAGGAAGGAGTATATACCGGTTTACATGGTTGGAACTGCTCGAAACTCCTGATCTTTGAATGGCAGTGCATAACTATTACCTACATTCTTGCAGTAATGTCCTAGATCAAAACAGACTCTTTTGGAAATATTTTAGCTAAAACCTCTAATTAGTTTAGCTCGTAAGACTAGTTTTTGTTAGATTTGTTTTAATACCATGATTATACTTGATCGATATAGTCGCTTCTAGCATGGATATTATTTCCTATCGATCTTCATCCCTGAGGTTTTATTTTATTACATTTGAGAAAAATTTATTACTTCAGATTCAGATCTTCAGACATTTCCTCCGTCTGAAGCTCAAGGGAAGATAACTGGTGCGTCTAGGCCGCCTCGTGATGCTGATGGTATGTGCTAGTTTTAATTTTTGATTACTTTTTTCTGTTTAATTATTATAAAGTTATAATTATTTGCAATATCATAGTTCTCTTGAAAGAGTCCATGAAAATGTTATCCCAAAAAAACCGAGTCCGTGAGAAGCCTGTTTTTGTAAATACCTAGTGGCTTCTCCGTTTTGAACAAGCTGGTTAGTCATTGAATTTCACCGTTCCAGCCTCTTCCTCCCCTTCCCATGTCATGTTGCCTTTTCTTCCGACACATTTAACTAGTCTTTAGCTTAGAACTGCGTGTGAGGTTAAGCAGGCGGGGTTGTGTCGAGATTTTTAGATTTCTGGCATTTTTATGTGTTTTTTTTTTTTTTTGGTGGGTTCACTTTATGCAGATACATTTTCAAAACCTTTATCTGGTTCTGAGGAAGCACAGCAGAGCAGTTGGTTTCGGACTTTTACTATTGGTGCTTACAAACCGTACTTTGATGTTGACACTGCGGATGTTCTAGAGAGGATTAAAGACTCATTCTTTCCATTTAGAGGAACTTTCAATGAAAAAACTGCAAACAGCCCCGATTTGTATGTGGATTGTTTTGTGTTTTGTGTATCATTTAATTTATTGATAAAAAATACCAGTGCTCCAATTTTGTCTCACTTTATTGATTACTTTTCTAGACATGGATATATTATTCATGACTTTGTTTTTGCGGAGCACATAAATATGATAATATCATGGAATCTAAAGTGACATATAAGACATTGATGGAAGCCTATCATGCATGAGCGATGGAGCTTGCTTTTTCCAGTTTTGTTCTAGACATGGATATGTTATTGACTGCTTTTTTTCAGACTTCCTTTGGAAGTATATTTCTGAAACAAGTGTTTTTAATATGTGATGAGTTGTATCATTAATGGTCATGTCTGTTGCGATTTGCGGAATTGTTCTTGCGTTCTTCAACATTGTTATCCCGCCATTAGTTAAATAGACGACTTTGTAAACGGTAGACTCGTCCAGTTTACAGCAGTCACATTTACTTTATTCCTTATGTGAGCCAATGCTTTATCTAATAATGTGTAGCCTTAACCCTGCAACTTGATTGAAGCATCATCAATGGCCTGATTCCTTAGGCCCTGTCTGGTTTGTCCATACCCTGTTCCTTCACTTTGTTATAATGTTTATTATACCCTTATAATTATTACTCAAATGGTTTCCATTTAGTTTTTACTATTCTTTTTAAAGGGTTCAAACTTTTAGGTGCTAATGCCTTGATCATCGCTGGGCTACATTTATGCAATCAAAGTTCCATTGGAGGACAAGTCATGTTATTATTTTATAATGTACATGCGAATTCTGTATTATTCTTGTGAGTGGTAGCTTGCGATTTTTATTTTTGCTGTAAATATACACAGGTATGGACCATTTTGGATATGCACCACATTAATATTTGTAGCAGCCTCAATTGGCACATTTGTCACGTATGTGACGCACAAGCTGAAGAAGGAGCAGTGGAATTATGACATAAATCTGGTGACTTGGTCCGCTGGTTTGTTTTATGGCTATGTCATCATCGTTCCTCTTTGTTTGTACGTGATTCTCAAATACTTCTCTGCACCAGCGGGACTTGCCCAACTCTTCTGTCTCTATGGATACTCCTTGTTTGTCTTCATTCCGGCCCTGGTGAGTTTCTGCTCCTAAAATTTTCTCCCTTTTGAGAACGTACGCCCCTTGGCTCTTTCGTCCTTAGCCCCTGAACTTTTGTTTCGTGCAGTGTATGTCAGTTGTGCCATTGGACATATTCAGATGGGTGATTGCAGGAGTGGCTGGGTTCATGTCAGCAACATTTGTGGCACTTAACCTTCGCGCCCATATCATGTCTGCAGGTGAAAGGTGGTTCTTTATAGTAGCTGGCATCTTTATATTGCAGCTTGCCCTTGCCGTTGTCCTAAAGTTTTACCTCTTCACGGTATCAGTTTGAGAGGAACTATCATTAAGAAATGGTGCGATTAAAGTAAAGATAAAGAAAAGAAAGAGAAGTGTTTTTGGTGTTTAGATCTTCATTGTTACGTTGTAGCTGAAATATAATTCACAGATCAAACCTCTCATGTATTCTTTCATTTGTGGCTAGATGAGGTATATACGTGTTTGGACGATTCTTGTTGCGTCTTTTATGAGGAATGACCATTAAAGCAAATTACTCGGTAGATGGGCATTTCGAGTTGTCCATTGTTAAAGCTTGAAGTATCAAATCAAATTAAGTGTTCAAAATCAAATTTCAAAATATAAGCAAACCGTCGTTATTGCTGACTTGCTGCTTTGGCCGCACCAAAACAAAAAAAAAAAAGGGAGCTACTGAATAATTTCACCTTGGAATTGGGAGACTTGAAGGACTGAGTTGTGCCACGAATTTTTTATTTTATACAATTATTCATTATTCATGAGCTGACTTAGGTAGAATTATAATGGCAGCAAAGCTCTCCAAATTAGTATGTAATACAGATGCTTATGAATTTGAGATTACTAATTAAGCTAGCACAATCCCTTTTAGTTGAGTTACATGATGCCATGAAAACAATTTTTATAGCTCTGAATGCACATTGGTTTGGTACAAGTTTAACCTGAAAAAAAGGCCTATGTGTGGTTGGAAATGTAGTTTAAAATCTATCTGGAAGCTGGTAATCAGAGTATCAAACATTGCTAGATAAGTGAAAATGATGTATCTACTTTGACTATTAAGAAAATTCAATTCAAACAAAAATTGCAATTCAAATTCATTCGATGACCAGGTGTATATGTCTAACTTATTTTGTGCTCATTTAATTCGGTGTAAAATTCATAATTGAATCACTTCCGTCTATTAGCCAATTCCTTTTTTAAAAAAATTACCAATTTTTATAGACAACCACAATTTATAACTTCAGGGAACACAATTAACCGGATATTTTATAAACGGCACCAATTAGATTTCACTCTTCACAGGCCACAGATCTCTTCTTTCTAGAAAACTTCAGCATTAATACAAACCAAAATGCACAGCTTTATGGCAATAAATTAATCGAACGAAGCTCCTACAAGTCACAAGATCAATTTTAAGCAACAAAGTGGCACAGAAATTAGAGAGAAAGCTCTCACTTTAGAAAATATTCAAATTCCATTCTTGGATGTTTATGCAAAGAAATGAAAGGCCTATTTATAGTCATCATAGAAGGATTATTTCGTCCTAAATCAATGCATTCAAGATGGATTATGGGGTTTCTTTTTTGGTCAAAGGGCCATGGGGTTTAATTATTCTTTATTTGCGAGGGTTACAATATATTATCATGGAAATTCATTGAGAAGAGGGAGAGAAAGAGACTCGGAAGAGGTGGGTGACTTCCGTTTCATATAGTTCTGACACGAGTAGAGCTTCAGCAAATCCCAACGACGTGACATCACAGAATGAAAAACCTGCCACAAGCTAGTCCAAAGGAAGAAACAAACTCCCCATTACAAAGGCATCGCCTGAAACCTAAGCCCAACATCACACAAGTTAAAATATTCCCTTTTGTGTTGTTGCTCCCAAAGGCAAATGCCATAGTTTTGTGAGGCATTTATATCGTATAATACGAATATTATTTAAAAAATAAATCAAGTACTACTGTTCCTAGAAAAATGAATCGGCACACAGTACCAAATACCAATGGCCTAAATGACTTGAAGCAAAATTTTTTATTTTAGGCTTTCGAAAAGCCTTATAAAATGTTATTTTCATCGTCTTTCTCTAGTGAAACAAAACGTTTTTATTGGTATAACTGCATATGTGGAAGATAATATGTTGACGCCAAACTAGAAAAACTAGCGTTCCCGTGTACGAAAAAAGTTTCATTGGACTTGCAAAAATAGCACCGACAGATTTACAGGGTAAAGTAAAATGCACAAGGTAAAAACACAAGAAGGAAGAGTCGAGTCTTGACCATGGAATTGGGTTGGTGTGATGGACAGGATTAGGTTGAGCTTGGACTTATCAAGTCGTTTATTTGACTAATGCACTGCCATTGCCTGATAAATAAAGCTAAGACTGTTTATAGTCCACCTTTCATTATCAATGCACAAACTCAAGTTCCGAACCGCCCCTTCATATCTGTGGCTCTTAATTGCTTTAAAATCAACTATGTTAGCCGGTGCTTTCAGAAGTGGTCAAACCTGAACCGTGTTTTTTTTTGGAGTATTGTCGGCTAATCTTTGACAAATCAGCTGTTAGCTTGGAAAGTTACCAAATGCAATATAATAATGGAGTTAAGTAATTCACAAAATTAATTCTTCCGTGCTGCTACATTTAAAAAAAAACAAAAAAAAAAGATAAATTAAAGATAAAATAGTTAGGAACAGAGATTCGAATTGGGCATCTACTTCCTTGAAGACACAGATTCATGTACGCTGTAGTTACGCCGGTGTGCTTTATTGAACAAGAGCTCTGATGCTATTAAATGAGTTATTACAGCATCATCATAGGCCTCGAGTTTGAGTCTCAAAATATTGTAGTATAAGTGATTAGGGACGCCCACCCTTATGTGCTTGTTATGCCTCAATGTGGACTTGTTTGGCCCCATTTAAGTTCTCACAACTTGTAGAGAGGCTGCTTCAGGGTACCATATACCAGGTGCTCGAGAGAGAGAGAGAGAGAGATGCTAGCTTGACCCCTCGTGGTGATGAATAAAGCTACGGGTTTAGAAATGAGAGCATGAGAGGGGGGACAACTCAAAACCCCACATATTAAATATGCCTCAACCTGCCAGTCTAACAAACATTTCCAACTTGAGATACTTTTATTGTGGATGCGTCATCGCTCTTCTCTAGTCTCTACTCCTTTCTCTTCCTCTCTCTTCCTCTTATGGTGTGTGAATCATACAACCGTTGCTAGAAATCTGAGATTCTTCTTTCCCATCTCTGGACCAAATAACGTCAAAGGAGGAGGATTGCTTATGTTTAAGGCTGTGGAGAAGCCATGTCGATTTGCAGGACTCAAATGGAGCGTTTTTCTATTGATAGTATTGACTCTTTCAGGTTTAAATCACAAGGTCTTGGAAGCTCGACACGCAAAAGAGGGATCGGAATATACAATCAGATTTCAAGTACGGAAGAGAAGCTTTGGCGGTGAAAAAGATGGAACCTCTTTCGCAAACGTTGAAAGAGAGGTGCCCTCTTCTCCTGATCCCTTGCACAACAGGTAGTTCTTCAAGCTTCTGTGAGGGCAAAAAGCACGATATATATCAGATCTTTCAGGAATCCGAGTTAACTTAGGATTGCTAGAGTAACCTCGTTGGTGAGGTTGACCCTTCTGTATAGATACCTCGGCTTGTGAAATGTCTCTCCTTGTTCGGTTTTGCTATAACAAAGTGACTTATAAAGTAGTTAGGCCTTTGGTTCTGTTGTTATTACCACACATAAATTCTTGTAATGACTACTACTTAATTTTATTTGGTACACATTACAAACCAATTTATTTTTTTCATTTAAATTAATAAAAAACAGGATTTAAACGCTCTCCGTTAGACGGTGGCAACGAAGAAAAATGGTGGTCTGGTGGACAAGGGAAGCGGAGGGATTGGCACTTTGTGATTATGTAATTGTTCTATTTTTAAGATTTTTATGACTTTGTTTGTTGAGCGTGTGTGTGTTTTTAAATTTAATTATATTATGTGGTAAAGAATTATTTGTATTATCAAAGGTCCAAAATACCCTTGATATATTTTTCTTTAAAAAAAAAAAACATTCATGTCTATAACCTTACTACCTGTAACTCCCCCTAAAGCTCACGATCCATTCTAAAAAAACTCACGACCCACTTCTTACCGTCACACAGGAGTGATGGTGGGATAATTCCAAACAAATAAACCTATTTCAATCTTCATACTTGCTCCAACAATTCTATTATCTCCTTCAAACCAAAAAGGGAACTATAGCTAAAATGACAAGAGCCCATAAATCATTTGTACTAATCTTGAACCAGAACCATAACAGTGAAACTCAAACTAGAAGGTAACAATGATGGCAAAGTAGAAAGCAGTGATTTTTACTCAAAGGTGGAGATGGAAAAGATTCATTGTTCTTGGTGTTCAGATCTAAAATCTATCATTACCTCCACCGTCATCACCTGTTGCAGCACCGGCATCGACATACCTCCAACCAAATCTCCTCTCACACCTATGCGAACAACTCCTGCAGGTGCTCCTCTCTCACATGTTGCAGACTGATAGCTGAGGTCCTTGCTTTGGCACCTAACAAGCCCATGAAGAAGGAGGGAGGCAAGGGTAAGATGGAGAGATGGAAGAGAGAGAAGATGGAAAGGCATACAGAATTGGATTCCATAGGTTTTGAGATGAATTGGATTTCAAGAAATTTGTCAGAATCGAGATTCTAAAAAATCATGATTATATAGTACCAAACACATTTTCAGATCAATTCCGTTTTCGTTTCTGTTTCTATGTTTCTGACTCAAACCTACCAAACATAGCCGAAGATTTGGAGGGAATTGTATCAACTTTTTCATTTGAAAAAAAAAAAAAAAAACGGTGCTCCACGTAACCCAACAATTCAATCCAATGAACTCATTTCTTTCAGCTCATGTTTGGATGCGCCCACAAGGATTGCATCAAGCCCGCATTTCTAAGTCTAAAAGTAACACAATGTCGCCGCCCAAATAGACACTTCAATACTTTTGCTCATTTCATTTCCCCAAAAGCTTCTCAGCATCACTGTGGCCGTCCAGTCTTCTCTTCCAACTAGACTTTATTCATGCAATGAAGCGGGATATATAGTCTTTCTTTAAATAAATACAAATTATGAGATAAATAATAATAAACAGTATTTTTATTTCAATTATATATATATATATATATATAATGAATCGTATTTGGATTCTCTTCGTACCTTCTTTCGAGATATTTTTTCCGATCTCCATACTCAATTTCATCTGTGCATTATTAAGATATAAATGTATTTAATATCATAATTAACAATCTAAAAATAGAATGCAAAACAGCAGTATTGCCGCGCCTTATACCCTTGTAGATTCATTCAACTCCTACGAAGTGTAACATATAAGGATCCGTTTGGATTTTAATTAAATATAATTAATTATAAAAAAACTAATTAATATAATTAATTTTAATTGTAGTTAATTATGTTACAACATAATGTATTATTTTTTAAAATTAATTTTAACAAAATTAAAAATGTTTGAATAATTTATTTAGAATGTAAATATTAATAAAATTGCATATAACATTATTAAATTTGTTTTGTTCTATTTACATTTAAATGAAGCTAAAAACAGATAGATAAATAAAATAAAATAAAGAAAGAAATAAAATTTATATTATTATATTTTTATTATAGTTCAAATAAATGAACATATTCAAATTGTTGTAAAAACGAGAGTATATATATTTAAATGAATGAATACACAACAGCACACAATGCGCTGAACATTTTGGTTGGGGAAAATTTACATACCCAATTTTGCAAGAAAGAAGAGTGGTGCAAGGGGACACTTGAACCAGCACAAAATTTTAACAACACATTATGCTTTCAACTTGAAAATTGATAATAAGAAGCTAACGACTTCATCAAGAACGGAGTTATGCAAGTATAATTGATTTATGGAAAAACACAACCATGGCATCCCTAAAAACGTTTCTTAGATTGAATTTTAGATCTAGTTCCTCCAGTCAACCAAATACGAAGACCAGGCAAATATTGCTTTGCAACCTAAAATGATTCAATTAAAAAGGGAACAATACCAGTCAATGCAATAACAAGCGTGCGTGCAAAATTAAAACATGTTATATGTGCAACAAGCTGCAAGCTAGTCCGGTTTGCATGCATAAAATATAGAGAAAACGAAAATCAGCAAACCAGTTATAAATACTCATGTGCTATTACATACAATAGATATACAAAGTCACTCCCAAAAACACCATCTTACATAAGACAAGCAGCACCAACAGAACATAGAATTCAGCAAATATGCACAGCATCACAAGAACAAAAAGTAGCCCTCGCTAATTCAAACACAAAAAGGACCCATCTGCCACCTGCATGCGCGTCTTCAGCGTCTTCCAAAATGCGAAAACTGTCTAAACAGCTAGTTCACCTCTGCAATCCATTCAAGAGGCAAATTAACTATTAATTATTTCAAATATCTATGGAAAAAGACAACATGCATGAATGCAATGATCTCACACACACTTGCAAAGTCTCAAGTCCAAAACATTACAAAGGTGGAGGGGATACAGTACATAACTTATTTCAGTATCGTATTAAATCCAAACTAAATGAGAAATACTTTACACAGAAGCGCAAGAGTAATTAGCAATAAGCATACCAAGTTCGGTGTAAACAGTCCATTCAATACTTAATTACTTATCACGACCACTTGTTCCTTCGCACGCTTGTGTAATAGTTGTAAGTCTCGAGCACAAAACAATATAAATGTGGAGGGGTATCCTTGAGTTATTTCAGTTTCATATTTAAGCCAAACTGTAAATGATAAATCATGGGCATGATGCACGTGAATGACTAGCAACAATTAATCTACCAAGTATAGTGTTTACAGATTCATTTGGAGTCTACAACAGATACTAGCCATCGAAAAATAATGGCGATTATATATAAGAAATAAACGGACTAACGAACTTCAAGAAATATGATGTGCAATGATTGTAGTAAGGCAGGATCTCACAGTTGCAACACCCGTCACAATCCACGATGGTGGAGGCCAGAAAGTCCAGAATAGCTAAAGACTCCTGAAAGCATCTTAGCAGAACAATCATCCATGTCAAACAATGCAGCATCACCGCCGGGATGATATTCAACGAGATCACCACAAAAGGAGCCACGTTCGTTGTAGTAAATGCAATTCTTCTTGCACCCACGATATTCTTGAGCTGAAACAGAGAAAGTGCAATGATCGCCAACAAACATAACTCTATTTCCCAAGCTTTTCACCGAAACCCACTTGCGTTTCTCCCTCATTCAGTTTATAAACATGAAAATAAGTGGGGAGAACATCCTCGTCGGAATCAGAATTAAAGCCCGCAAGAAATTCATTCTCAGGATCAAAGTCCCTATCTAGGAGGAATAAATCGCCAAGAGAACTCACCAAGCGCTTTGCTAGACTGTTGTGTCTATTATAACCAGGACGAGTCATTGCTGGGGTAACTAGTGTGATTTTCAATGACAAATCTACCGAGATAGTCAAACCGGAGTCATCCACAGCATAAAATTTCGCATTATGGTAAACAACATCATTATAAAAAGCGCCTTCCCGGCCATTGCTTATACGATTCCATTTCTTATCACCCTTTCTCCCAATACTCAACTGGCCAGCAGTGTCAATGGCCATAACCGCAAAACCAGCACCTTCAGAGCACACAGCCACTTTCATAACGTGAACAGATAAAACTTCAGGAAAATCTAATTCAGGTATTTTACTATTGCCCACAAATCGAAGATCGTAAACCTTAGTTATCTCGGAAGCCCTATAGTCAAGGAGATTCAAGCCTCTAGGAAGACGCGGAGACAGGTTCTCAGATTCAAGCCGGGAGAGAGGATCCATGAGGCGAACCTTGCCAGGCTCCTTGGTCTCCTCAATCCTAATGAGCCAGCACTTGGAAGTCTTCCAAGTGTCTGAAATTTTTCTTGAGGGGTTGAAGCAGTAGACAGTGGACTCGACCAGGTTGAAGTAACCACGTCGTCTGCGATTCCGATGAGGGTTGGAACCCATTGGGAAGGGAAGCTTGAGAGGCGGAGAGGGAGAAGCGGACCTCCGGGACGGCGTAGGGAGAACGGATCGCCAGGAATAGCAAACGGCACGGAAGCAAAGACGATCGATACGAGAATCAAGGCGATTGGCAATGTTGAGGAGCAAATCACTGCGAAGACCAGACCACGAAGTGGAGTGGGGATCCATGGAAAATAGGAGAGATGAGACACCAAACTGCAAGGTAACAAAAGCTGGCTGGTGTTGATGGAAACGGACCACACACTGTCACTTGAGGAGAAGCCGAAGCAGAAGGGCGGATTTATAGCCCTTCGTAAAAGAGCTGGCTTCTCTCCATTTTCCCCTCACTTTCCACCTCAATTATTAAATTTATTTTCAAATAATTAAAATTTAATATTTTATAAAATTATTATTAAAATATAAATTTTTAAAAAATAAATATAATAATAATTTTATATACAATATTAAATTTAATTATTCAAAAATAAATTTAAAGATTGAGATGAACAGCGAAGAGGAAATGGAGAAAGAAAAAAAAAAAAAAAAGAAGCCAAGTCCTTTGATAAACAACGCCAGTTAGCATCAACCACGCGTCCCCTTAAGTCCAATCTTGAGAGTTTGCTTTGGGAGCAAGCAATTAATTAACGCTGCTTCATTTTCATCACAAATGAAATTCAATAGCCGTCCCAAGCCATGCTTTCGTGTCAGGTAATTTTTTAAAAGTTTTCTTTGATTTCAAAAAGTGATGAGAAATGTCTTTTAAATTTAAATAAAAATAAGAGAGTGTGTTTATTTAAAAAGAGATGAGTCTCTTGTTTTCTAAAACTCTCTAGAGTAAATTTAATATCTTTTTTAAAGTCATGCTTTCATGTCAGGTAACTTTTAAAAGTTATACTTTTCTTTAATTTCAATAAAATGATCAGAAATGTTTTAAATAGGAATAAGAGAGTGTGTTTATTAAAAAGAAGTGAGGCTCTTGTTTTCTAAAACTTTTTTTTTCTAGCGTAAATTCAATATCCTTTCAAAGTTATGCTTCCATGTCAGGTAACTTTTAAAAGCATATTCTTCTTTAATTTTAATAAAGTGATTAGAAATGTTTTTAAATTGAAATAAGAGAGTGTATTTATTAAAAAGAGGTGAGGCTCTTGTTTTCTTTCTTTTTTTTTTTCTTTCTTTTTTATCTAAAGTAAATTCAATATCCTTTCAAAGCTATACTTTCATGTCCGGTAACTTTTACAAGTTATATTTTTCTTTCTTTAATTTAGAAATGTTTTTAAATAAAATGAGAGAATGTGTTTATTAAAAAGAGGCGACACTCTTGTTTTCTAAAAACTCCTTTTTCGAACTATCGTTATATTGATAATCACAAGAATAACTTCTCAATAAATCGTAACATTATTTAGAGAGGTTATATATATATATATATATATATATAAGTGATGTTTCTCTGTACACAACTTTAAGAATTGAATCCAAAATAATACTTGAGAGGTCAAGACGGCTATCATATGTGACACACTTATTTGCTAGATAAATGAAATTAAGGTGCTATTGAGAATATATTATAGATATTTTATAATTTGAAATGAGTTTTCTATTAGAACTAATTAAAAAGATCTACAGAAGGTATATAATTATTACAAAAATACTGCTATACGGACTTCTCTTTTGTAGGAGGTTGCCAGCCTGTATCGGTTCTATGTAGTATTTATGGTCCGGACGGTGGATCAAAGCATTTCTCAATGATACCCATTCCATCCGATTTCTAAGACGAGTAAAATTTTAATATAGTTTCCTGTTTTTTAAAGGAAAAACTAATATGCTAATCACTATAATGTTGTCACATTTTGAAACAGGTCCTTCTAATTTTTTTTCTTTTTATACTCCTTTTATTTTAAATTATAAGATATTTTTAAATAAAATCTTACATACCAATGATCTTTATTATAATACACTTGACAACTTTATTTTTTAAAATAAAAATATAAATTTTTAAAAATATTTTTTATTTAATATTTTAAATCCACACATAATTAGTATTAAATAGATAGAAAAAAGAATGATATTAGAATAATTTTATTTAATAAAATTTAATTTTTTTTAAAATATTTTATATTTTAAAATGATAAATCTCTCTCAAGGGTAATTTAAATTTAAAATGAAGGTAGTAATATTTTTGTAATTTACTCCGTTGAACTTCCGTTAATGAGATTGCATATGATGTTACCAGTCTGCCCCAACGCTTTTGGAATGTTCTTTGCGGGTGTTTCAAGAAGGTTTGGGTTCGACACATGGTACGTACTACGTACTCCCTCCGTTCCAAATATATTTATCCAGAGATTGCGCATGATGTTTGAGACGATAGGGTGAGCTCATCCTTCTCTCGCTCCATTGAAGGAGAAGAAAGCTCCTCCTTCAACTGGTTCCGCTTCTCTGCAAACATTGGCGCTCTCAATGCTGCTGCTGTGCTCACGCAGATTCATGACAACATAGGGGGGGATTAGGGTTCGGCGGCCATGGCATTGGCCATTACGATGGTTTTCTCCATTTAAATCCAGTGTTTTCTCTCTATCTTTGACGCTCTAAATAAAGGGGAGAGGGGAGGGATCAGTAGGGACTATAGCTCCCCTAATTTTAATTTTTTTTTTATAGTAAAATATCATTGATTATATATTTTTGACTTCTTTAAGTTGGAATATTATACAGTTTTGAAACATTAGATAAAATTCTCATTTCAATTTTATATGTATCTTTTATAGAATTTATTTATTTTCAACAAGATAATGCTATACATGCTGTTAAAGTATTGATATCATTTTATTTTGCTTTCATTTTAAATTTAATGAAAGAAATTGTGAAAATTATCATTACAAACTTTGTTAAGCATTGCAACAAAAATTTCAAGATATATTAATATCTATCACAAATTCACTTATCCAAAAGTTATATTTTTTGGTGAAAATGGTTCTTCTAAAAAAAATGTTGTCTAAGAAAAATTACTTTTTTTAAAAATAATCATGCTGTTGAAATTATAATATGAATGATTTTTACTCTGATATAATTCGAATTCATTGGCATAAAGATTTTATAACAATTGAGCATTATTAATTCATTGATATATTGGTTTACCATAATTATCAATTAAAAAAATTAAATAGTAAATTTAATGAGCAAGTAATATAACTTATTACATTGAATAGAACTTTAAATTTCATAATGTATTTAAATCATTTAATGTTTATAGGTATAAAAAAAATGTCATCACCATTTAATAATAATTTATATTGAGAAGAAATTACTAAAATATTTATTGTAGACATAATAACTAATGATTTTTATGTTATAAAAATCGATGAGCAAAACTTATTATATATATATATATATATATATTGTTATACATGGTGTAAAATTGAGTATAAAATATATCTGTTAAAATATTTATAGTATGTCGGTGATATATGTATAACTTTTTTTAATTATCATATATATTTGTCATCTTGGCGCTCTTTAATAAAATTCAGGACTCCACCCCCTGTTCTTAAGTGTCTTCTTCCATTATCACCTGGAGTCCAAACTCACTAATAACATAATAGGATTATTAGAAATAAAAAGAAAGTTAATTATTGAACTCTATAGCTATGTTTGGTTCAGAGGAAGGGGAGAGAGGGTTTTTAATGATCATCTATATGGTTTAGAAAGGAAGAAGAGGTAATAACTAATTTACTATCATACATCTTATATGTTAGCTTTTATTTGTTAGTTTTTTTCTTGTT